AGCCTGCTCCGGGCGGCGACCCCGGCTCCGCGCCTTCCTGCCCTCCGCGGCCCCTTGCAGCCCGCTCGCCCAGCGGTCGCGCCCGGTCACGCCGGCAGGTCGCGCTCGGCGGCTGGCCGAGCCGCCCCGGCCCCGGCCCCGGCCCCGCCGCGCCCGCGCCGCGGGCCACCCCGCCCGGCCCCCTCGGCGCCGCGCCCCTCGCCTTCCCCATCTCCAGCCGCTCGCTACTTTCACACCTCCCAGTGCCCCGGCCCCGGCGCCTGATTCAGTGCTTAGTAATTAATTTGGCGTTTCAGAATGGTCAGCGGGCTGGATAATGGGCGCATTCATCCCCCGCGCTAATCTGAACAGAGGTGGGAAGAAAGGCTTTCACAGACAGAAAATGCCATTCGCGGAGCGCTCAAAGGGGCTGTCACTCCCAGAATAAATCGCCGCTGCGCCCGCCGGCTCCTCTGGCCATTTCCATACAGTCCCGGCCCGCGCCGCGGACCTGCCGGCCCGGCCTCCGCGCCCGGGAATCACTCACTCGAGTGCCTTCGACGGGAAAGTCGGGCGAGAGCGGGACCCAGGCGGGGGCCGAGGGAAACCGAGAAACGGGGGCTCGGGGTAAGGCCGCAGGGGACAAAGAGATGGATTAGAAAATCAAACGCGCAACTAGGAGGAGGCGCAGCTAATTCAAGGCGCGGACTTTGGAGCTGGGGCTCCGGGAGCGTCCGTCCCAAACCCCGGCGGTTAGCCCAGACCGTCCGCGGCGAACCCGAGGTGACACAGCGGCTTCTGGGCCCCCCGGATGGTGAATGGGATGCAATGCACAAGCGTAGATAGTAAGGACAGGGCCCGACCCGCACCAGACTTTTCATTCCGGGTTCCTTAGATGGCAGCTCCTTCGCCCTCAGGGCCTGGGAGATGACACGGTGTCTTCTGCGTCCCCCTGCTCGCCATTCCTGTCTGAACCCTAGGGTCCGCCTGGGGGCATCTGTTGAGCGGGTGACGGCGGTTTTATCCTCTGATCCCTTCTCGACCCGGCGTCGCCCCGAGTGTTGGGCACCGACGGCCTATAGGGTCTTGGGGCCTGTCCGTGGTGGCGCACCCAGCCCGCTGGCGGAGCGGGATCCTGCGCTCCGGCCGCAGCCCGAACCCCACGGATTGCGCCGCGGCAGCGCCCCCAGCCGGGCCCTGGAGCCTCCCGGTGGGCAGGGCTGGCTTGACTCTTGTCAGACTGAACTCCTGGCCCTTGATTTTCCTGCCGCGGGGGCTCACCGTGCGTCTACCTCACAGGGCAGACTTGGGCGTGGGCCCTTCCACCCCGTGAAAGGGAAGAGAAAGCTGTGGCTCCATGGCCAAGCCTTGGCTCGGCTGAGAGGCAGGAATGGCAAGGGAGCGCAGCTGGGAAAAAGGGGTATTTCTGGAATGGCCAGCTGGGTGTCACAGGTGTTTAGGGGAGACGGAATCCCACGTTGCAGCCTCTGAGTGGAGTCACTCCCTCCGAGTCTCAGTTTCCTTATTTGCAAAACGAGAATAAAATGAGATCACACTAGCCGGGCGTGGCGTGGTGGCGCACACTGGTAGTTCCAGCTACTTGGAAGGCTGTGGCGGAAGGACCGCCTGAGCCCAGCAGGTCGAGGCTGCGGTAGCTGTGAGTGTGCCACTGCACTCCAGTCTGGGCGACAGAGAGAGACTCCAACCCCCCCCCAAAAAAAAGAAAGAAGGAAAGAAAGAAATGAGATCACATTTGGCCCCAAGTGCAGGGTCCCCTAGTAAAAGGAGCCCACTCACACTCCCAGGCACCAATCCTGTCACTGTGGCATCTCTCCAAGTCTTCACCAACACCTGCCCTTGAATGCCTCCACCCATTCCTTGCAGCTTCTGGGTTCTGGTCTCCAACTCTCCTAAGAACTGGAAGCAGCCTTTCAAAGATTCTAGAGCCATTATATAGGTGGTGATGCTGAGACCTAATGTGACTTGCTGTTGTCACCCAGCTAATCAGAGCTACTTGCGCTCAAGTGGACTTCCTGGCAGAGAGTGAATCTAAGACTCTGGGCATCAGATGCTCCCCCCATCCCTTCCCCCAGCTTCCCTAGATTGGTGGAGAGGCCCAGAAGCTTTCATTTTTTAAAAGCGCCGCCAAAGCGTGTCAATGGGGTGGAATAGGGACCACATTTAGGGGAATGCAGCCTACATTGGGCTCTTTTCCTGCAACCCCTGCTCTCCCAGGGCTGTGAGTCTCACTTGCTCTCCGTGGGTCCCATTTGACCTGCAGAACAGTCTTTCCTGTGTCCTTCCTGGACTGGAAGTGGGTGAGGTCTGTTTCTAGAAGACACCACAGGATCCCCCAGGATGTGCAGCCGATGAGGGAGCAGCAGTGGGTGAACTGTGCACTTGGTGGGTTGAGAAGAAGCCTAAGTACCCTACAGGCTGACTGGATGGTGAGCCCCCAAACCCCAGGGCCTCCTCCTACCAACATGCTTTCACAGCTGTACCTAACACTGTGTACCACAGGCCCCACACAGTTCAAATGTGCCCAGAGGCCCCCATCAGCAAGGCAAACCTGCCCACACCAGGGACAGAGCAGCCAGCCATAGGGGACTCATGCCAGCAATAACCAGGTGTGGGCCAGAATACCCAGCACCTGTCCCTCCAGCACGTTAGGGCTCAGAGGAGAGAAGGTGTCAAGTCGGGGGTCGGGGGAAGGCCTGGAAGAGTGGGAGAAAGCAAGAAAGCGGGTAGGGGGAGGAGAAGCTGTTAGGCACAGAGAAGGGGCCAGGGGAGGGGACGAGTCCCTATTTATGTAAGCCATTTGTAGCTGTGGATTGTAAAACTGGGCAGGATTCTCTGGAGTAATTCATAGTGTTTGGACAAGACAAACATTGTTCTGCTTTAAACAAACCTCCAGAAAGGTCAGCTTGGTTCATCCTTTTGCTGCGAGTTGCTGAGACTATCCAGATGATGAGAAAATCAGATCTTTGCTGAGGGGCCCCAGGCAGGAGGCCATGGTCTCCTGAGCCCTTTGGATGCTGGGTGAGGACACCCAGTGCAGCGAGGGGCCTTGGTTCAGATGAAAAGGCCCGTTTCCCACTCCAGAGCCAGGAGATGCAAGATATGTGCCTATCCCAGATCATGAGATTTTGGTGATGCTGAGTATCATCTGAGCTCTAGGGCAAGGCCAATGTGACCTGTGACATGAGTCTTCTTTATGTGGGTGGAAAATTAATGAGAAACAAAGACTCATGGATACAGAACAGAATTAGACCCGCTAACCTCAAGGTCCCTAGCTGGGCCCTTCTCTGTTCATGGAGCAAATATTTTTTGAGTGGCTGTAAAGTGTCAAGCTCTGTGCCAGGTTCTAGGGATATAGTAGTGGGCAAGAAAGATGTTGCACTCACTCTTGGAGTCTACAGTCTGAGTTATCCTCCCATTCCTGTTTCCCCTAAGAAGAGAAGCTGCTCGCAATTTCACTTCCAGCTTCTCCTCACCTCCATTGCCCCACCAAGTCCCTTGGCCAAAACCCAACATACAATTCTCTGAACCAAGCCTGACAGTGAGTAAAGTGCTCAAGAAGCATTTGCTGCCATGATGGCTGTGATTATGAGACTTCATTCTTAAGGGATTTACCTGACCCTGAGCTAAAGCAGATACTTTTTATTAACACGCTCATTGTCTAATTATTAATGATGTATTAATATTTTATTATTGCTGCTCATTAATACTAAACCTGGTATTTCTGTAGTGCCAGCTATCACTGTCCTGCACATGATCTCCAGATGCCCAGACACTTTGCTATCTTCTCGAGAGGGTGGTATCCTTCTGGTAACCTTGGCGATGGTGGTAGCACTTAATTAGCTGACTCTACACAACTTTATAAAAATCGTTTGCTCCTTGCCTTAGTCCATCTGTCCATTACAACACTTCAGGGTCTTTTGCATATGATTTCTTTTTAACTCAATACTCTTGATATCCATGAAAGGGAGAAAAGAAGAAGGGAGAAAGGAAAGGAGGGAGGACGGGAAGGAGGGAGAAAGGGAGGGAGGGAGGGAGAAAGGACAATTACTATCCACATTTTTCATAAGAGGAAGTTGATGCCTAGAGAGAGATGAAGTGACTTGCCTAACGTCACTGAGATGTCAAGGCAGGAGACTGTATCTGACGACAGTACAATCCAGATAGTCCTCTTGGGCCTCTTGGGGAGACCCATTAAACCAAGTACTTGGCCAGAGGCTAAGAAGTGGCTCCTTAGGCTAGCTCATGTCCACCCCACTGTGTGTGTCATTTCTAGCATCCTTCTGGGGGCAGGCATGGTGGTGTACCTGCCTGACATCAGCATCCATGGGTGAGAGAGATGTCCCCTCCTTCCCCCCAAATCCTAGTTTCCCTTGATGTCTTATTATGGACGACTGATTCATGCACTTACTCAATCTGTTTGGAATCAATGATCCATGTCTGTTTTTATCCTTGATGCTAAATCCCTCTAAATTTTCTTTCTGCATGACATATAAACCAATAATACCTCATTTAACTGACATTTAGGGAAAATAAGCTCTTCTGCATAATTGATTTTTACAATAATTTTTACAATAATTAAGCTAACTTACTCCTTGTCTTAGTCCATTTGTGTTGCTATAACGGAATACCTGAAACTGGGTAGTTTATAAAGAAAATAAGTTTATTTGGCTCACGGTTCTGCAGGCTGTACAAGAAGCATGGCACAGCATCTGCTTCTGGTGAGGTTTCAGGCTGCTTCCACTTATGGTGGAAGGGGAAAGGGAGCCCCTGTGTATAGAGATCACATTGTGTGAGAGGAAGCAAGAGAGAGGAGAGAGGGAAGGGTGGTGCCAATCTCGCAGGAACTGATGGAGAGAAAACTCACTCACTCCCTGCCCCCCAACAGGGAGGGCATTAATCTATTCATGAGGGATCTGCTCCATGATTCAAACACCTCCCATTATGCCCACCGCCATCACTCGGGATCAGATTTCTTTTTTTTTTTTTTCTTTTTGATTTGGAGTCTGACTGGAGGGGATCAGATTTTAACATGAGACTTAGTGGGATCAAACATCCAAACTATAGCACTCCTTTAAGCATAGAAACTTTGTATGTAATCATATTTCATGAAAAACACTTTTCCATCAAAATCATGATTTTTTTCCCACCTAAGTTAGGGGAATTGAATATAGCAAGTGTTCCCTAGGTATGGTTGAATGAGTGACCCACAACCCATTTTGATGACTCACAGCCATCTTTGGAAACATCAGCTCCTGGGCAATTTGTTCAACACCCCTGACCTCAGTTTCCTCCCTTGTAACCTGGGGAGCACTGGACTGAATGCTCTCTACTGGCTGCTTCTGTTCTTCTCTAACTCTGCTGGGCTCTTATACAGTAATGCCCTTGGGAATTCTTGGTGGTGGCAGACCTATCCCACATCCCTGGGATAGATTTTTTTTTTTTTAGTTGGAGTCTCACTCTGTCACCCAGACTGAAGTGCGGTGGCATGCTTACGCTCATAACCACCCCAGTGTTGACCTGCTGGGCTCTGGCTATCCTTCTGCGTCAGCCCTCCAAGTAACCAGAACTACAGGCGCATGCTACCACACCTGGCTAATTTTTTTTTTATTTATTGTAGAGATGAGGTCTCACAAGTTGCCCAGGCTGGTCTCAAACCCGCGGGGTCAGGCAATCCACTCACCTCGGCTTCCCAATGTGCTGGGATTATAAGCTAAGCCACTGAGCCCAGCCTATAGATTCTACTATCAGCTGTCACTTCTCAACATATTGGTGTTCAGCAGTCACCATTTCCCCAGGGATCCCAATCCGTGGTCCTCTGGTCCCCTGGAAGAACAGAAAATGCCTAATCTCAGTTTATAAACACTTGTAAGTGAATAACTCCTGGTGCCCTTATGGACTGAAGTCCCTCAATATCATGGCTTCTGTTCTCTCAAATGCCCAGGAAACTACTCACTTATTTCTGGACTGTGCTCCAAATCATAAAGTGGGCTGCAACCCTGGACTCTAGGAAAGGGGGTTACAATACCTTGCAACAAACAGCAAGACTTGGCAAGCTTTGGCTGAAGGCTCTAAACTCAGCATTGTGGAGCAATAAATAACAGTGAGATGTGGTCATTGCTTATCAGAAGAAAACCCAAATGGAGACTTCAGGACTGTTTCAAGGCCAGGGTGTCAGTGGCCCCTCTTTTT